CAGGACCCTGGGACTGTGACCTGAGCCGAAGGCAGACGCTTAACGACTGAGCCACCCGGGCGCCCCATCTTCTTCTTCTTTTTTTTTTTTTTAACATATAATGTATTATTTGTTTCAGAGGTACAGGTCTGTGAGGTTTGAATTTAAACAGCAAAAACCACTGTTTCAAAACCATGACAAAATGTTTTTGGGGAAAAAAAAAGTAAATTTTTTCTCTCTGAGTCAGAGATGAGAAAAGTACAATTAGGCCAAAGCTGGCAACTGTTCTTAAAATGTGACCATCAACAGAATAACGACACTCAGTTCAATCTCTGGCACCAAATAACCCATTTTTGCACGAGGTTAAGCAATGAGTCTTCCCTGGTCAACCGGCCATAGCAGTTGCTGCTGACACTCTATGTTTTTTTCCTTCTCAAGGCTGCTTTTCCAGTGATTTGGGTTTGGGATTTTTCATTGGTCAAAACAAAAGAAAGCTAAGAAATAACCGCCAGAGAAATGAATTTAACACTATCGACAACTTCCCTAATTAAATAGAGTGAGTTCTGCCTACACTCTGTTAAATTAATTCTCCCCTCTGACAGATAATTCTGCTCTGATTGCTGAAAGACACCAGTCTGCCTTGCGTGTCCATAACTAAGCTGGCAGAAGAAGTTCCACAGCCGGTGGGATCTTGCTGATTGACTTGTGCTTAAAGCACATTCCCATTAGGTAGCTCTAAGAATGAGTTTATTGAGCACGGCTGAGCAAGAGATAAATTAAGCCTGTTCAAACAACTAGACCAGTAGGCAAGTTAGGAGCAAAATAGGTGTTCTGTAAAATATGAATGTAATAGAATTGTATTCATCTTTCCTACTGCTTGCTCAAGACATTGGGATGTTCTTTAAATTATTGAAAAACACATAGTTTGTATCATATTGTCACTTATCATAATCACAAATTTGCCAAAGTAAGCTGAGTAAATCATTATTGTACAATGTGGATAAAACACCTCGGAGTCTAATAATGGGCTATAATTGGAGTATTTTTTTGGTTCTGTGAACTTATTTGCAAATAGCAGGACACCAAACAGCCAACGACAGAAGAAAATCTCTACTCACACATCTTTTTGGAGTAGAGCTTTGCTGGGCAATTCTTGCCTGAGCACCATTATCTCCCACCTGGACAACTGCTCTGAAAACCATCTATGGCAGCCAGCCTCCATGATGGCACCCAGTAATTCTTGCCTCCTGATATTCACAACCACAATGAATAGGACTGATCTGTGTAACCAATAGGAAATCGCAGAAATGACAAGGCTAGGTCATTAAAAAAAACCCTGTGGCTTCCATCTTGCTCTCTCCTGGATCACTTACTCCGGGGAAAGTCAGCTGTCATGTTATGAGGACACCCAAGCAGCCCTATGGAGAGGTCCACATGGCAAGACACTGAGACTCCTGCCAACAAGTATGTGAGCAAGCCATCTTGTAAGTGGAGTCTGCAGGCCCAGTCAAGTCTTTAGATGACCACAGGCCAGGTCACCATGCTGACTGTGACCTCCTGCGCTGGAAGCACCCAACGAAGCCACTCTGAATTCCTGACCCACAAATATGACATGAGATAATAAACATAGATTGTCATTTTTGGTTGCCAGGTGTTAGGGCAATTTGTTACACAGCAGTAAGTACCTAACACACTCTTGTCTTCCTACCTAAGATACATACAGCAGCCAGGATGGCTATCTCTTTGAAAGGTAACCAGATCACAGTACTCCCCTGATCAGAACCCTCTGAAGTCTTCATCTCTCTTAGAATAAAACCCAGAGTCTTTACAATCTGGCCCTGACCACCTGGCTGAGCACATTTCCCTTATCCACTCTGTTCCAGCTACAACAGCCTTCTTGAACACATCTGGCTTGTTCTCACCTCTGGGATTTTGCATTAGGTATATTCCCTGTGCTCAGAATGCAAAGTCTTTCTCCCTACATCTTTGCATGCCTAGTTCCTTCTTATTTTTCAACTGCACCTTGAACAAGCCTTTCCTTATCCACCAATCTAAAATAGCCTGCCCATAACCTGATTATATTTTCTTCATGGCACTTATTACTGCTGGTGTGTATTGATTTAACCTGTCCCCACCCCGGGCCCTGGAATAGAAGCTCCTTTCTGGCCCACCTTTTAAAAGGCTGATGCTTATTGCCTTTAATGATGTCTCACGTGTAGTTGGCTTTTAGTAAGGATTTGTTGAATAAATGAATGAATGAAGGAATGACAAAAATTTCCTGACTTATAAAAGGAGATTGTTGTTAGTTGTTAGTACCTACAAAACAGGTGAACACGCAGAAGTTAGTTACGCTATCACTAAACCGTTCAGAGGGTGAAGAGATGGTACTCAACGTTTTTATTGATTCTGGGTTGTGACACCCTCGCTTCCCACCCTGTGGACAGGGTAAGGAGAGAGCATAACTGTAATGGGATGGAAAAAGGATACCCTGGAAATTGTATGAACTATAGTTCTTTTCCATCCTTATTCTCGAAAAAGATTCAGATTTGCACAATAATCCCTCCAGGTTTAAGAGAAAAATAATTAGCTATCCTGCCCCCCATCCCCAAAAGACTTATGTAAAAAGATATTACATTAAATATTGATATATGAAAGTGAGGGAGTCCAGCAGGTTCATGGGAATATTTGATGCATAGTTAGTCCCTAAAGGAAAAAGCGTGGGAGAATGCTAAAGGAAAGGGCCACAGTTAAGCTGTGGAAGTGTCCCACACACCATACATCATCATCATCATCATAAATGTCACCGGACCCAAACTCGTTGTGTCTTATTTAACTTCCATAAATCAGCAATCTATTTCACTTCCTTCCTTCCTTTCTCCCTCCCTCCCTCCTTCCTTCCTTTAGTTCATCTTCCAATCCAATAAAATACACTATTGATATTTTGATGAGCTCTGACATTGTGGATATGATATGGTGAAGTGAAGCCCATGATAAAAAGTACAAGTGGAGGCTCCATGGAAGGTCCAGCCTAGAATTCTGATGTGCTCCAGCATCTGTTGGATTTTATAGTGAACGAATTGGTCCCATCATTTCAAGCTGAACCTCACTGAATGGGAACCTGCAGTGAAAAAGAGGCCACCACCCCTGGAAGCTCACTCGGTTTACCTCTGGCAGAAGTAAAATGCAACGAAGCACGATAAACCTGGAGAAAGGATGGCTTTTTAATAGAACAAACACATTAAAACCTCACCCTAGTACTGTAATTGGATTTTATTCATGCACCTGGCTCCTGTTATTTCTGAGCCTAATATTTAAATAATCAAAGTGACCTAAACAATAAGGAGGCGGGCAGAGCTGTGGAAAAACAAGTACAGAAGGTCCACAGGAACATTTTGGGCAGGTCAGTGTCTCACCAGCCAGGGTGGGGAGTGATGGTGTCAGAAACATGCCCTGCTCCCTCCTCTTCTGTGGATTAAATGCAAAGGACAGGGAAAGGCATCATCTCATAAATGTGATTTGCTGACAGAGGAGTCTGTGCATTGTGTATTTCTAAGCAAGAAAAAGGCATAGAACAGTAGGTACATGGATTCATTTTATGAAAAAACAAAGCAATACAACAAAACAGATGTGTGTGTGTTGTCATATGCATAGTAAGAAGGTCTGAGAAAGACACAGGCTAAATTATTCAAGGTCACCTGAGGACTGGGGTGGGTGATGGGGCACGTGCGGGAGGACAGACTTTGACTTGACTTCATATATTTCTAGGAAGCCTTCTGTGAGCTGGCTTGGCAGAGAGCTGACAGGTAGGATTTCTGGTAGTCCTGGGTGGGGTAGATATTCCAAGAAAACCCCACATGCCATACCCTGATTTGGGTGTAAAAAGCACAGTCTCTGTTACAGGGAATGGGGAATTCAGGAGAAGAAGAAATTCGGGAATCAAATCGGTAGGACAATTTAAACCAGTGCTTTACATAATGGCTGGAAATGGGAATGAGGAACAGATTTGACCTGCAGAAGACAAATCCATTATGTCATTATTCCTTTTTTTTCTTTCTTTTTTGGGTCAGAAGAAAGAAATCAGTGACATTTGGAAACAGGAATTTTTTTTTTTTTTTTAAGATTTTATCTATTTACCTGACAGAGAGAGACACAGCGAGAGAGGGAACACAAGCAGGGGGAGTGGGAGAGGGAGAAGCAGGCCCCCCGCCAAGCAGGGAGCCCAATGCGGGGCTTGATCCCAGGACCCTGGGACTGTGACCTGAGCCGAAGGCAGACGCCCAACGACTGAGCCACCCAGGCACCCTTGGCACTAGCTCCAAGAAAGGGTCCCTGAATCCTATTCCATCACATTCCTTTAAAAGGGAAGCAGAGCTAACCTGATCGCCAGATTAGTCAGCTTTTCACCTGGCATTTCTGTAGGATTCCACCTAACAACCCACTGAAATCTGAAAAGAATTTCTTCGGATCTGAGTGGCAGCCCAGGGTACTTGAGCCTGGGCTCCAGCCAGCCAGCACCACACATGGAAGGAGCGTGTGGAATGCCGGTCAGAACAAAGGTGGGACCAGGAGGAAGCGACACACAATCATGTCTGACGGATGCCACATATGGATGGTGCCACAGCTCCAACGACTTATTCATAAATCCCAACACCCATCCTTTAGAGTGAGGGAAAAGATCTGTGTGAGGGAGAATCCAACCAGTTACGTTTCCCTAGAGAATAAAGGCGGAAGCACGGGCTGATTTTTATGATGACAGATTTGTCACCGTGTTGTCTTTCCTGGGAGAGGTGGATTGGTAGTATCTGGACTCCCTGGCAGAGACTGAACCCCTGAAACTTATCAAGGGAGTCAGGGCAAGAAAATGGGGGGAATCTCAAGACAAGCAGCCTTTCAGAGACCTGCCCCCCTCATGGACCCAGTGCTAGGAATCCTGTCGATTCAGCCAAGAACTAGAAAAATCGCAAAGCAAACATTGGTGCATTCAGCATAGGGCTTTTCTAAAGCACTAGGCAATTCCATCAGATCAGGGAGCAGAGGGCGTGAGACAGGATAATTCAGAGAAGGGGGACAGGCAATATCCCAAGAGGCAGGTAGCAGACTCCTGACTTTTCTGGGGCACACCAGAGGGGAGAACCTAGGGTGCGTGAGTGTGGGCGCCCATGTGTGTGCGCAACTGTGTGTGGGAGGGGCTCGGGGCTGGTGTTGGCAAAGAAGGCTTCTCACCATTTCTCTTCCGTGCCTCCTCCTTTGTCACTTTCTGCTGTGCCATGACATTCTGGGGCGAGCGCCTCCCTGAGCTGGGCTTCCCTGATTCGTTGCTGATGACAGAGCCATTCTCGCTGGGCGACCTGCTGGAAGTAACCATAGCAACAGGAAGACGGTAAGTTCCGACTCCAGCAGCCTCCTCTCAAGGTTATTTTATTTGCACTGTTTATGTCTGTCGCCTTTCATTCTGGTTTTATCCACAAAGAAGAAATGATACAGGAAAAGAAAAGAAAACAAAACAAAACTAGCCCCACACTACCGCATGGGTTAAGCAGCTGGCCATCGTGAAGTATGTTGTTTATGGGGAGTGCTTAGCTCTGCAGAGAAGTTCAGTGAGCGCAGCTCTCAGGTCCCATCTCTGTTCCATTATCCCCCAGCGACTATGGAAATGGTGGTGATGGCGTTTGTAAGCACGCCCTCTTTTTAAAACACAGCACTCTGAATAGTGTTGCAGAGCGTTTTGATTCACGTGGCATCTGCAGGGACATGCATAAGACATAACATTCTCTTTGGCCTTGACCTTGACCACTAAAGTTGAAGTCACCCCACCACTGAGTTTGTCATTCTGTCTCCCACACTGGCGCGTGCGCACACATGCTCTCTTTAACTGTGCGAACTGGCAACCACTTACATTTGAAACTACCAATTTGAGCTATTTGTTCCTTCAGGAGATACTTTATGTGCATCAGCTCTGTGCCGGGCACTGCGCCAGGTATCCTGGTATACAGCGATCCGAAGATACCACCCATATTCTCCAAGAGCTCCCCATCAGAAGCACCAACCAGGTGCCAAGGACTACGTGAATGCTTTCACAACTCTTAGGGAATCATCAGGACAATCCACTGGTTTGGTGATTGTCACCCTTGTTTCGCAAGTGAAGAATGTCCAGCGCCGAGTTAGGAAGTGGCAGATCCGTCCTGGAAACCAGGGATCCCCCTGCAGGTAGGGGCTCTCCCCCCATGCCAGAGCACCTCTCCTTTATTGCCTCCTAAAACGTCTCAGATGAGGCAGGCCTGTACACAGGGAAAGCCGCAGGGCCTTCTCCCCTTCCCTTGGGGCTGATTCTGGTCTTCTGGGACTCTCTGGGAAGTGAGCTCTTGGAGCCCCTGCTGAGGTTCGTGCTTCCTCAGGCCTCCAATTGTCATAAAGACCAACTGCCTTCCCTTCTGTGGAGACAAGTCAGGAGGCAGATATCCAGAGGCCTCATCGAACCTCTTATTCTTCTACTGTCAATTGTCCAAATTCAGAACCTAAAGGCATCCAGCCCCTACAATGGAAAATTGATTGTAATAACATGTAGCCCTTGACCAGTAAGTAAGCAGTTTCTTAAGTGGATGCTCCTCTTCTTTCCCCTCCCTTCTCTCTCTCTCCATGCTCTGGGAACTTTAGCACCCCAAAGCATGACCAGTGAAAGGGCCCACTCACATACACGGGATGATGCAACATCTGCCCAGAGGGTTCCATAGAACGACAGAGCCAAATGAGATGTTCCTGGCCAAAGTGCCTCAGACAAGTATAAGTTTGGGAAGTCTTGTTTCTTTTTTTTGTTGGGGCGGGGGGAAGTCTTGTTTCTTACCTTCCTTCTTTGGATATTCCTCATGCACATTAACATATCAAAGGCCCTGATCAGTCCTGTCATAAAGAGACGCCTCTCCTTTTGTTTAATCCAGCATCTCCTAATTTACTTGGCCCCAGATCTCTTTCACCATACAAATAATGCAGCTTGGGAAAACATGGAGAAGGTATTAATTCATTAAGTATATATTGTTTACCGCACAGCTATTTGATCACTAAGTGCTGGCTGTGCACAGAGACATCTACAGGGAAGACATAAGCCCTTGGATCGTTTTCAGAACCTCCCAGTTAATGGCCCCTACTCTTCCAACTGGCTTTACCGGGACAACAAGACTCTTCCGGGGTCCAGAGAGAAACGAAGGGGAAAGGCTTCTTGTAACCTATTTTATGTTCATAAAACACTTAATGGTATTTGTAGCATTTGCATATTCTTTCCTTCATTTGATCCTGAAACAATTCTCTGGTTGTTCCTCTCACTCCAGGGAAAGGTATGAGGTATATGCTCAGAAATGAGCACATTTCTGGAGAGAAACTCCACCTCTGCTTTACTCTTTCATCAGCTTATAGTCTTATGTTTACATGGGGCCATCAACTCAAACATCTGGTCAAAAATAGAGAGTGAGATTTGTATGTGTGTGTGTCCACTCACATTGACAGTGACAAAGATGTTGTTGAAAGCAAGAAAGGGCCATCTGTGAGGCTGTAGTTTTAGGCTATTGAACTCTGTAGGCTTCCTTCTGGGGATATGGGTGTACATGGAGCCTGGATGAAGGGGCTGAGCAGTTATGGCCAATCACTGAATTGAATGGCTGTCCCTATGAGGTTGATTCTCTATCCTCGCCCATTAATCCCAGTCACAGACCAACAAAATAGTATCACCAAAAGCCTTGGCTAGAAGAACAGGACCTGCAACACCTGTCTGTTTGTCTGCAAATGGCTGAATCCTCAGATTTCAGTTTTCAAACAGTTTTAAAAACAGATTTAAAAATTGAGATATCTTCACGACCATCCAATCACTGGTTTCTACTGTTTTTCACTTGCAAAACTTTTTGGATCACCTAACAGACCCATTCTGGGAGGTCATGTGTCCTCAACCAGCAGGAACAAGGGAACTGATGTGACAAGATGGGAAAGCCAGACAAATAAATGCACGATGAGTTTGCTGTTGGTTTGGCATCTTAATATCTTCCCAAATGATTAGAGACTCCTGTGGTCAGCTGAACTTGAACAGAGGTGAGGTTTCTCACATAGCTTTGGCAATGATAACAGCCAGCCCCTAGTAAAATTCTATTTTTACAGTAATATTATGAAGCAAACGTAGAAATCATTCAGCTGTGTAGACATTGCTTTCTTTACCTATATTTGTTTCATAAGCTGTTATTTCTTATTAAAATTCTGAGGGTAAGTAATTGAACTTGATTACCAAGAGTAGACTCCTTGCTAATTCAAGAAGAAATGCTTCTTCTAAAAAAAATTTTTTTTAAATAAATCTTTATACAATTTAAAATCACTCGTCTAGAATGGGTGGAAAAGAATTTTTATTCTTCCCATCAATGCTGTGTTAATATCCTAATTTTAGTAATTCTATTTTTTCTTTTCAGTGTCCTCTAATAGGTGATATATAAGTTGTTACCACACCTTTATTGTATCTGGCAAAGATCATAGTGAGAACAATTACTGTAGGTAATTCTATTTGTCAGTCAATTCAGATAATTTGTCTATTGCTTCTCTGTATGTTTCAACTCTCCATGCTGGGGCAGACCATTGCAGTTGTGATCCCAATTTATTCCCACCTCCCCGTAACCAAGCTTTGGTGGCCTCCTCCCACACTGACTCTGGACTAGACCACGTGTCTTGCTTTGGCCAACAGGACAGTAGCAAATATGACACAAGCAAAGATTTGAGAAGTGCCTGCACTTGGGGGTTTGTTTTCTTGCTGCCCTTGGCACCCTGTAACCACCCTGTGAGAAAGCCAGAGCTAGCCTGCTAGAGGATGAGAGACCATGTGGCAGGGGGCCCCAGGTACTGGGCCACCCCAGACAAGGCTATCACCAACAAGCCAGCCCAGCTAGCCAACCGCCTGACTACAGATGCATGAGTGAGCCCAGCTGAGATCAGCTAAGCCTAGCTTAGCCCAGAACCACCACCTACCTGAGCTCAGCCCAAACTGCCGACCCACCAAAAATCATGAGCTGAAGAAATGGTGGTTGTTTTAAGCTGCTAAGCTTTGGAGGAGTTTGTGGTGTAGCAATAGATAACTAACCCATATCTCCTCAACCTTCTTTCCTACTCAAGCTGGAATCCAACCTTCTGTTTCTCTGTACCTCTTTCTGAGGTACCAAGAACTCCTGGAGGGAAAAACACAGAGCCTTGTTGCATGAATCCAGTGCAAAATTTGTGTATTTGACACAGACAATCCTTCCATCCCCCTCAAATTACTCCCTTCTCTTGGCTTCTTGGATTCCTTTCTTGCTTTGTCCTCTTCATGCCTCTTTTTCCTGATACTTTTTGGTCTCCTATGCTGATTCTTCTTCATCATCTGGACCTCTAATGATTGCAATGTTCCAGGGGTCAGGTCTTGGGTCTCTTCTCTAACTATCCTCTCCTAGGTGACCTCATTCAGTGTCTTAGCTTTAAATAACCAAATGCTGACAACTCCTCCATTTATATTTCTACTCTGGACCTCTCCTCTGAACCGCACACTCATACAGCTAGTTGAGTTCTGAACACTTCAACTTGCGTGTCTAAGAGGCACCTCAAACTTAACATGCCCACATCCAAACTCATGATCGTCCCCTACAGATTTCTTCTCTTCTGATCCTCCCCAACACAACCAGTGGCAAATGTGTCCCTCTCTATTTCCATTCCTCACAACAATCTATCAGCAAAGCAAGCCTTGTGAGCTCTTCCCTCAAAACACGTCTAGAATCCCATCACTTCTCACAGCACCATGCCTTGGCCCACACCGCCATGTCTCACCTGGACTACTGTAATAGCCTCCTGTCTCTCTGCTTCCACTCTGCCTCTCTGCCATCTGTGTTCCACACAGCAGCCAGCGTGAGCCTTTACAGCTGCAAGTCACGGCATGCCACTGTTCTTCTCAAAGCCCTCCAATGACTTCTGATCTTTACTCACAATAAAATTCCAAGTCCTGACTTTGGTCTGTAGAGCCTGACATGCTCAACTTCAGGCAACTTCTCTGACCCATCTGCCACTGCTTCCTCCCTAGTTCCCATTGGCCTCCTTGGCCTTCTTGCTCTTCTTCGAGTATGTGAAGAGATTTCTTCTTCTGGGCTTTGCACATACTGTCCCATCTGCTTGGAACATTCTTCTCTAAGATAGCCTTGAGGCTTATGCATCATTTCATTCAAGGTCTTTCTCAAGTGTCACTTTATCAGAAAGTCCTTTCCTGACTTTGTAGCTAAAAATGGCATCATGCCCCCGCCCCCTTCCATTGCTCTATCCTCTTACCATGCTTTGGTTTCCTTCTTCATACCCATCACCACCCGACTTACTGTGCATCTATTTCTCTATTTGTTTATTGCCTAGCTCTCCCCACCAGATTGTAAGCACCATGAGAGTAGGAACTGTGTCTTGTTCGCTGCAGTATCCCCAGTACCTGGTGAATAACACCCAACAAATATGTTAGGTGAAGGGAGGGAGAGAAGGAAGGAAGCAGGGGTGATGTAGCTCTCCCAGCCTCCACTGTGGTCTCAGGCAAAGGAGCAAAGGGACTTGGCAATGAGAGTTGGCTTGGCCAGCCAACAGGGCTTACCATAGAGCTCATTACCTCTTTATAAGACTATTGTAAAATCCTTACAACGAGTCTCCTGGCCTCTAGCCTAACCTCTCCCATCTATCATCCACATTGCCACTGGAGTAGTCTTTCTAAAATACAGGCTGAATGTCACTGTCTTGCAGAAGAACTTTCAGTGGCTTCCCATTGCCCAGAGAATATATGTGAAACTCCCTAGCCTGGCAGTTGAGCCCCTCCACAATTTTCATCCATCTGGTTTCATCCTTCACTGTACCCCAACCACTGTGAACTATAAACCCTGGGGACATTCACCAGTGCATGAACATGTGCTGGTCCCTCTTTTCTCCCAGCTCCTTTGGACTGGACACCTTTATCTCTCCCCAACTACTGACACTACACTCATCCTTTGAGGCCCAGCTAAAATATAAGCTCCTCCATCAGAATTAAGCTCTTCTCTCTTTTCCAGAGTGCTTCGTTTAGACTCCCCTATGAGCACTTGCACATCATGCTTGGTTTCCAGGTATTTATCTCTCTGTCCCTCCATCATGAGATACTTGGGGTCAGGTCTCAATAGTAATCCTTTCTGTAGCCTTTCCAATGCATGTCAAAGTGCTCTGTTCATGGTAAAAACTCCTAAAATTTTTTTTTTAAGATTTATTTATTAATTTTAGGGGGGGAGGGGCAGAGGGAGAGAGAGACTCTCAAGCAGACTCCCTCCCAAGCGTGGAGCCCGACACAGGGCCCAATCCCACGACCCCGAGATCATGACCTGAGCTGAAACCAAGAGTCAGATGCTTAACCAACTAAGCCACCCAGGTGCCCCCTCTCACAATGGCTTTTTTTTTTTTAAGATTTTATTTATTTATTTGACAGAGACAGCGAGACAGGAAACCCAAGCAGGGGGAGCAGCAGGCAGAGGGAGAAGCAGACTCCCCGTGGAGCAGGGAGCCCGACATGGGGCTCGATTCCAGGACTCTGGAATCATGACCTGAGCCGAAGGCAGACACTTAATGACTGAGCCACCCAGGAGCCCCTCAAAATGGTTTTTGAACTCAAACCATGAACTCTTGAAAAACAGCCAGATAAAATCCAACTCTACTGAATCAAAGGCACTGCTTATAAGATAAGTTCAAAAATACAAGTGTGACACAGTGCCAAATTTGCTGTAATACATATGAAAGCTAAATCTCTGCTATTGTGGCTGATCGGTGATATAAAACCTTACAAAGCGTGGCTCATGAGAAGCAAGTATTATGATTCTCGTCATCTCTCTTAGTCTCCTTCTCAAATATTCAAAACGAGCATGAGGGGAATTTTTAAAGAGAAAAGTGGTATTAACTTGAAAGCTTCAGCTGCTCTCACCATCAATTATTCCCCTTGCTGGGACAGAGAGGCTGAAGTTGGCCCCATGCCTACCTCTTTCTGGTTTCGGTGGACTTGGCTGTCTTGATGGTGCTTCCGTCCTGGGTGATGTCTCTTTCCTGAGAGGCAGGAACATCTCTAACAGGGAGTGGGAGGACCACTGTTTCCTGAGTCACAGGGACGACCTCCTCATCTGCCCCTTGCTGGCCCAGGTGCTGCTTGGCATAATCAAAGCCTTGTACAGGCTGCAAAAAGGAAAGTGGATTTGTGGTCAGATTTCTGACAGAGTGTGCCTCGAATGATGGCTTTAAGAGAAGATGGGCAGGAGAGTGCATGTGACAGGACCACACTTAGCTTTTTGATGAACACGAGTGAACTCAAATCTCCCCCATAATTCCGGTCTGCAAAACCAGAATCTGTGCTCATTCCACCCAGCTATGGAATCTCCCTAGACAAGACTTACTTGGAAAAACAAAGAGTATAAACAAGATGCAAATACGTGTGTGAGAACAAACTTCTTTCAAGAATTTTAAACGACCAATTTTAAGTCACTAGATACTGCTAATTAGAGACTCTGAATTGATATGTGAAATAGGTCCTGTATCACCTCCTGCCTCAGAATGTCCTGTCATCCCTGAACCCCACTTTCCCAAGGCTTTATGTGCAATAAGAGGTATGTGACTTTGCCAAGTTGCTTGAATTCTGAACCTCAATTTTCTCATCTGAGAAATGAAGACAATCAGATCTGCTTTACCTATACCACCCCTGAGTATGAAAGGGGAACTGCTGCTCTGAAAACAGGGAAAGAAATGTGCTTCCACACGTGAGGCACTACAATCATTAATAATAAAATGGGATTTATGGAATCACTCAAATCCAGACCTATGGCTCTCCTATGATTCATCACTGGGTAATTAGCAAGCCTTTTATTGCACAGTGTCTGAAATCCTAAGTGAACAGGGCAGCTGTGAGCAAAGCCCAACAGACATCTATTAGCTGGGCAATAAAAAACCAAGAGGCGTGTTTAAACAATTCCTGGGAGTGTCTCTATTCGGCTTTCTGCCCCAGAGCTGCAAAACAGTGATTCGAGGCAGGACAGGGGGGTGGCAGAGAGCACCAGCTCCGAAACAGACTGCCTGGGTTCCAGTGCCTGGCACATAGTAAGTGCTCAGTCGGTATTAGTTAATATTGTTCACCTTCCTATTAAATCACAGGCCAGGTGAAATAGAAATCAGTGATTCTCTTCAAGAAAATCTGGGGATGAAACTCAACCTCTACCATGTGGGTCCCCTCAGAACCTGACATGTTGAGGAGATCCCCCTTCAGCAGTCAATTTTGCTAAGAAATGTAGCAGGGAGCATCCAGCTAGATGGAACGGTCTAGGGCTGTGGCCCAACCCGTCAAATCTTCCTACTGCATCTCAGGACAGGATGGAGCCTTGTTAAATCCAGCAAAGCTTCCTTATGTCAAGCAGTCTGTAGTTCTGCTATGGACAGTGCCCCCAGTTCCCAGGGAAACTCACTGTGGGAAGTGCACTCAGCCCTCCCTCTTCGCTGAGACACACTTTCTGACCCAGATGGTGACCAGGGACATTCTGTGCCAGGATCCAGCAACATGCTTCTGAAATAGTGTATGTCTGTCTGTTTCTCTCCCGCCTGTGGGGCCGCATGAAACAGAATGAGCCTTTGAACCACCTGGTCATGTTCCTAGACTACTGGATGGCCTGCTCCTCCAACCGACGGTCACCAAGTGGATTCAACAGAAATGTTTCTAGAAGCTGACCTTTTCTCCCCAGGTCCACCTATTGTCTCCTGGCTTGGTCTTGTTGCTTCCATTCAGGTCCTTTCTAGGCGCACCCTTGACAAGCTTCCAAAGCTATCTCCCTGAAAACCACTCAGGTCATGTCACTCCCCCATTAAAAATGTTTCATAGCACTCAAACTCTCCAGCAAGGCATTCAGGCCCTTCACAGCCTGGCGGGACCCGCCTGTTTAGCTGCACCTCCTGTTGGCCCCTTTTCCGTAATACCCCCACACCCCCATGATCCTATTTAGCGTAGTGCTGACTATAGGTGTTGGGCACTGGCTTGTGCCAGGGACTGTGCCTGGTGCTGGAGATATGAAGATGAATAATAGCTGGTCCCCTGCCCTCAAGGAGCTTTTGATACTATTGGTACAGTGCCGAATGCATGACATCAATTATGACACTTCAGCCCCACTGTAGTTCAAGGAGGTGGGTATTATTATTATGATTCCCCACTTTAAAGATAAAGAAACTGAGGTCTGGAGAGGTTAAGCCACTTCCCCAGGCTCACGCAGCTAATATGTGGTGGGGTCGGGATTTACACCCAGTTCTGAGTGATGCAGAGCCAAAACATCTAACCACTGCCTGATGATTCTTCCCATGTCCTCTCCTCTCCTTCTGCGGCCTGCCATCTTGGTTGAGCATCTGCTACCGTACTTGGCCTGGTTCCCATGCTGAGAGTCCTGGCCTGTCGGTGAGGAATTGAGAGTCTCCAATGGCAGCTAAGACTTCCCAAGAATCTAGTGAGGAAAACAAGCTGGCTTTGGCCTTTTCCCTCTTGCCCCCACTCTCCCTGGATTTGTCCCCTCACCCTTCACACTGGGTTGAAGTTATCTGCTAGATACTTCAGGCGACTGGGTTGACGATGAATGAGCATTGTCATGACATTAAGGAATGACAAGTTCAAGGGTGGCCACTGTTATTAGATTAATAATAACAGTTCTTGCATATGTTCAGTACTTTTAGCCTGAAAACACGGACACCTCATTTCATGCTCACAACCACACCCTGGGGGAAGCAAGGCAAACATCACAGTCTTCATTTCACAGGTAAGAACACAAAAGCTCAGAAAGGTTCAGTGACTTGCCTAAGATCACACAGCTAAGTGGTGAAAGACTCAAGACTAGTCCCTTACTCTTCTGACTGCTAGGTAGTGGTCTTTCAACCTTCAATCTGAAAATCACCTGCAATTCATTAATTGTCCTTGGACACACTTTAGTGAGTGACCCCTGACACCACTGAGACATCATGAAGGATCTACAACGAATTTTGTAAAATTATCAGATCAAAATAATCCCCAACAATTTCAAAGGTAGACAAGTTATCCAGACCTTTTAAGAAAAAAATCATGTATAATAATAAAGGCCAACCAACAGATGAATGGATAAAGAAGATGTGGTATATATACACAATGGAATATTACTCAGCCATAAAAAAATTGGAATCTTGACATCTGCAACAGCGTGGATGGAACTAGAGGGTATTATGCTAAGTGAAATAAGTCCATCAGAGAAAGACAAATATTATATGATTTCACTCATATGTGGAATTTAAGAAACAAAACAGATGAACAAGGGGAACGGAAGGAAAAATAAGATAAGATGAAATCAGAGAGGGAGACAAACCGTGAGAGACTCTTAATCACAGGAAACAAACTGAGGGTTGCTGGAGGGGAGGTAGGTGGAGAGGTGGCGTAACTGGGTGATGGGCATTAAGGAGGGCACTTGATGGAATGAGCACTGGGTGTTACATGCAACTGACGAATCAATGAACTCTACTTCTAAGACCAATAATACACTATGTTAATTGATTTTAAATTAAAAAAAAGAAAAAATAAAGGCCAATTTGTATGTAATATTTATGTGCCAGGCACAGCTCAAAGTAACTTTCAGAGCTAGCTTAATCTTCACAACAACCTATAAATAAATAAATAAATACTGTTATCATCCCATTTCACAGATGGGAAAACTGAGGCACAAAGAGGTTAAGTACAGGTCATACAGATAGTATGTGAAAGAGAGGAAACAGCCGGGCATCTTTAGGGGGTGACTGACCTGTCCCGAGCAGATGGTCATGCCAACCATTGCAGGCCCTCCAAGCTCCATCCTGCATCTGGATGTGGCCCTAACTACTTTCCCGTAAGGCTGCCTGTTCCAGGGAGCCATGTTCTCATCAATTATATGAAGGGAACCACTGGGCAAAGGCTGTGAATCCAATGAACAAAGAGTAAAGAGAAATGAACCAGGAAGAAAGAAGGTCACAAAAGCCCTGATGCCTGGCCCTCCAGCATTTATCATTTTCTAAACATTCTACCTGCAGAAGCCCAGCTGACCACCATGGTTAACAGGGTTCCGTCTATGGTACTTTGTCTCTGCAGAGGGTGGGGGCGTGCATGTCCTGGCCTCAGTTCCCAGGACAGGCACGCGTGTGCACTCGCCTCCTCTTAGCCTGTCAAGTCTATTACTGAGTCTCAGCAGGGATTCCCCAGGAATGTTCGGACACTGCAGCATGCATTCTAAAGACACAGTGATGTCCCTGGAGACTAGGAGACCATCCTCCCACTCTATGGATTGGTCCCGAAGGCTAACTTTTTCATTCCGCCTCGTCCCTTGGCATTAAATGAATTCTGCTCACACACATGGGTGGTGAGAAGTGATGCAGGCGGCTCTGTCCTCTCAAACACTGCAGTGTCCCTGGGTTGCAGGAGCAGAAGGACTGCAGTAAGAAAGAGGCAGTTCTACCCGCTGGCTTCCGGTGATGAAAGGGCTTTGCAAATCAAAGTGCGCAGCCCAGCCTCAATGAGGGAGAAAACAACCAGCACCACCACACACAAGTGAAGCCAGTCTTCTCTTGGAACATAAATTGGCTTGATTGTCAACATTGGTCAGATATCTCTTCAAGCATGATGCCCCAGGTAGGAACATAAAAGGGGCCATGAAAACCCACAAACATGAATCTCTTTCAGCTTCAAACAGCTTTCAAGCCAGAAGGTGTGCTGAAATCGTGGGCTGCCCACCTCACCTTGGCAAATTAATAAAATTTTGGCTCAATCCGAAACACAAAGTTGGCATTTACAACCTCCATGTGGCAGGTTTTCCATTCCCGGACTCGGCTGCAATTAGATTCTGGTAATTACTGTTATGTCTGAAAGGCTCAGATTGTAACTAAGCTAAGATGGGAATGAAATACCCCTTCTTGGAACAGTTTCATGTCTCACTACTTGGACCATTACCAACACTGCGCTGCTTCTGGAAAGTGGGTGCCTTTGGGTCGACAGAAACAGAACAACATTCTTTGGAGTTTGGCTTTCATAGACAGAGCGTCTGATCAAACTGCAGCTTTGCAACAGGTGAATTAGTTTAATAAACAATAAAATCCATTTGATTTCTTTTGCTGAAGCGAGGTGTGACCATCCAGAAAGGACTAGGCATGCATGACTCCTGGCAGATCACCTCCAAGACATTCATTCCAACAGAATGGAATTCCTTTCTCTCTTTCATTCCTGCACAGGTGGACAAAGCTCAGAAGTTCTGTGCTGGAAGAGGAGTCTACCTGCCAAATCTCAGGGTTCAGGAAGGTGTATAATGTGGAGAGAGCCCAAACACACAGATCTGGGCCAGAGTCGCTCCCCTGCTGCCAGTTATGTGATTTTGGACAAATCCCCATAGTTGCTCTCTTTCCTTTGGGTTTCTCAACAGTAATGTGAAAATAATAAAACCTGCCCTGACTATGACCTACCTTATAGGGCTGCTGTGATGAGCCAATGAGGTGACAGACCCAGAAGAATCCAGCAAATGCGAAGGCATTATTTAAACATCAGGTATTAGAGATTATTATATCTCCCTCTGGGAGTATCACAAAGGGAGCTATGTGACTGGAAAAGTAGCCTTCGGAATTTCCTGAGTCCACTCCCCTCCCCGGCACCAGCGGTGAGGAGGCTGGGCAGGGTGGGTGGGCTCCCAGCCAGGCTTCAGTGGAGCCACTGAACTGGTGTGTTTGATGACCACTGGGCCGAGGCTCTGCAGCTCGCCCATCATGGCAGCCTTTGGCGATAAGCCACTCCAGCCAATGGAAGAAGGAACATTTTGAGAGTCTAATGTGCCCCACAGAGCCCTGCATTAGGAGCCCAAAGACCTGGTTCTACCATCAGTTCTGCTACTTACTGTGTGATCTTAAGTTGCCTCTTCTGTAAAAGGAGGATGTCAGATTAGACGACCTCCAAGGCCCCTTTCAGGTCTATCTAGCTTCTAATTTTCTGTGCCTCAGTTTCCTCACCTGCAAAATAATGGCCCTTCCTTAAAGCATTGCTGGGAGGCCTGAGTTGCTATATAAAGCCATCAGAAGCACTTATGGCAAAGAGAGAGCATTAGATAAGCGTTCACTATCATATCCTGATTATAAACATAAAGGGTGTACAACAATGTGAATATACTTAACACTGAATTATACGCTTGAAAATGGTTAAGACAGTAAATTTTACGTTATCTATAATTTACTATAATTTTTTAAAGATTCAAATAAATAAAGGGTCTCCTTCAAAATGAGGGCTTGCTAGAATGTTTCTGAAGGCATTTGCAATGGCCTCAAAAACCAAGACAGAAAAGGCAGGCAGAGCCCCTCCTCACCACCTCACGCACCTTTGCTCTCTGAGGCAGGTTCATCATGGTGTCTGGCTTGAAGTCGTTCTTGTTCTTCCGGCAGAGCACGGCAGTGATGATGATGATGATGACCGTGACCACGGCGATGGGTGCCAGCACTGCGGCGATGATCCACAGGTTGTTGGGTGGATTCTTCACCACAGCTGTGGGAAAAGCAGAGGGAAGCATGTGACAAGGGGCACTGGGAGGGGCAAAGTAGCCCCCACACCTCAGGTCCCAAGTCATGAGATGGTGAACAGGGTTTGGGATCAGAAAGGCTCTTGCCTTGGGCAAGTTACTCAAGATCTCTGAGTCTCTGTTTTCTCATCTGTAAAATGGGGCTATCACTTTGTGAGGCATCAGAGAGATGAGGTACATGTGGAGCTTTGGTGTGGTCCCTAGTAGGTGCTCAATAAATACCAGCCTTCATTATTATTAAGAGAAAGAGGAAGATGGATTGTATCCATTTTCCCTATAGGTGATGTCCATGAATCCAAAGAGAAGAGAGAAGACATCTGAGGGTCATAGTTGGACTGGAGGCAGGAGGCAAAGGCCACAGAGAGATGTCTCTAAATATTGTAGTGAAGCCACCTCTGAGTGAGCGATAAATAAATGTAGCTGAGTAGATGGATCTATGCCCACCAAGGGTTGGTTGGGGAAGCTTGGAAATGCCTTGGTCTGATCATAAGGATCAGGTTGCTCTCAAAGCCAGAGTAAAGAGTAACCAAAGCTATTGTCAGTAGGAAGAATGTGTTATTAGAACAGGAGGTGCTTCTTTGGAGGTGGGGTTGGAACTAATTAACCTGCAAAGGGTAAAAGGGTGATGGTCATGCTCTATATCAGGATAGGGGTTAGGGTCACACAGGTGTATACACCTGTCAAAACTCATCAAATGGTATACTTAAGATCTATACATTTTACTCTATGTAAATTTTACCTTAACATCATAAACAAGTATTGAATTCTAGGCAATGATATGCATGCTCAAATGTTTAGGGTTGAAGTCCTCTGATGTTTGCAACTTACTCTGAAATACATCAAGAAAAAATAAGATGGATGAATGGCTGGACAAAAGGACAGATAGATAAATATGTGAAAATGAAAGAATAGTAAAATGCTAATTGTTGTATCTAGGTGGTGGGAACATGGGTGTTCACTGTATGGTTCTTTCAACTTTTTTGTAAGGTAGGCTAGGAATATGTAAGAAAAAGAAAAAGTCCTTGGCATGAGATGGATGAGTCTTCCCTATGATCACTGGCGAGGAAGCTTGGAAGATACTTTCATCCAATCAAAAAGACCAATATGTTCTTAGAACTGGAGTAAAGGAAACAGTAACCAAAACAACCGGCTAGAAAAAGAAAGTTATTGGAAGGGAGTGGGTCCATAGGAAATCTAGAAAAGAGAGCCAAAGGGCAGGCAAGAACTTGTCCATGTCATAGGAATGTGCCCCAGCTGGCAGATGTGGGGAATCCAGCTGGGGTATAGGTCTATCCTTGTGAACAAGATGGCTGCAACTGGCTGTTTCAGCTCAGTGATACTGTCCCCTAATCCCACCCAAGTTCTCTGCTCTCCTACAACCTAGATGATCTCAGAGAATCATGGCTTTAAATACCATCTATGCTGATGATGTTCAGGGGTAGATCTCTAACCAGGACCACTACCATGAACTCTGGATTCCTATATCCAACTGCTAACTCAATCTCCAATTGGATACTTAAGAGATATCTCAAATTTATTATGTCTAGAACCCAATTCTCAATTTCTCCCCCAAACCCATTCTTCTTGTGATAGTCTTCAACCCAGTAAATTGCAATACCTTCCTTTCAGTTGCTCCAGTCAATACCTTTGCCATCAATGTTGACCCTTCCCTTTTATTCTCACCCAACATCCTATTCATTGACAAACCTTGTCCTCTCCATCTTCTAAATGAATCCACAATCTGTTCACTTCTTTCTATTGCTGCTCCCACTGTGGTCCAAGCTACCAACATCTCTCATTGAATTGCTGCAATGGCCTCCTACTTTGTCCCTTGTCCTCTATAGTCTATTTGCAACACAGCAGCAGAGTGATCCTTTAGAAACTCTGATGACACGCTCCTCTGCTCAAAACCTTCCAGAGGCTCCCTCTCCCCTCAGAGTAAGGGCCAGAGTCCTTATAATTTCTAAAAGACCCTATGGGATCTGCTTTTCCAACCACCCTGGTTACTTCTCTGGCCTTACAGCCCACTGCTCTTCCCTTAACTCACTCTGTTCCAGCCAACCAGCCTCCTACTGTTCCTCAAATGTGCTGGACATGCTCCTGTCTCAGGACCTTTGCACCAGCTTATTCTTCCACCTAGAGTGCTCTTCACCTAGACATCCATGGCTCCTTCCCTCACTTCTTTCAGGGCTCTAAACAAGTGTCAAATAGCAATCCCTGCCCCTGGAATTCTCCATCCCCCTCATCCTACTTAATTTTTCTCTTAAACAGTGCCTCTCAAACTTGTGCATGCCAATCGCCTGGGCATCTTGTTCAAATGTACAATTCTGATTCTGTGAATTGGGGTGAAGCTTGAGATTCTGCCTTTCTAACAAGCTCCCAGGTGGAGTCCGTGCAACAGGCCCCCAGGCCACACATGGAATGGTAAGGCTCTAAAGTACGCATTACCGTCTGACATGATACATATGTATTTACTCCTCATCTGTCTCTCGACTCTCCACTAAAATGTACACTCCAAGAGAGCAGGGAGGTTTTTTTTTCTCTTGTTCACTGCTACACTCCCAGGGCCTAGAACAGGGCCTTGCACATAGTAGGTGCTCAATTAAAAGTTGAACGAATGTATAAATGAACCTCCATTAGCCCTGTTGCAATTTGGCTCCCCATGTAGGTTTTCATATGGCAAAAAATAAGGGCCACTTAAAGAAGAAGTCCCATCTCTTTGGCAGTTCTAGTCTATATTTTAAATTAATATACTACCAATCTGGTTTATATACCAGTCTTTTATAAGTCTGCTTAGCATAAGTTGGTCCTCCTGATCCTGCTGAACTCTGAGGGCTCCTAGACCCACAAAGCTGAGGACAAGACTCTGGAATACTTTAGAGACCCCACTGGTAAGTGACACATGATGAGTCAGTTGGTCTTTCTCTCTGACTTCAACCACCCTTTCTGACTTCAGTTGGTACCTCATTAGCCAAGATCTGCCTCTCATCTGGCAGCACTTGGATCTGGAGTTCTTTAGTATAAAAAAACCTTCTTTTCCATAGTTTTTATCAATTGGTGATTAATCACATTATTAACTTCTGAAAACAGCTCAGTAGATAATGTGCTTCTGCTGACATCAAATATTTAATGGCTACTGCTTTTAGTAATTTGGTATTTACAAGTGAGTTTGATGCCATTAACATTTTTTAAAGCTTAGGGTTTCCATGGAAAATAACCATGTGCCTCTTTTGGCTATGCTATTCTATCCTGATGAAGAAAAATATATAGTGTATCAGAACATGATACCCTAAATATATATTTCATTAGCAAGAGTTAATATTTACACGTGTCCTGCTTCTACTTGGCTTTATCATTTTGGTGTCCATGTTCCTTCTCGGTGCAGTATGTAAAATCCTTTCACCTCTATTTAAATGGAAAGAGAATACATTTATCTTATGTACATTAGTAAATTCATTTAACGGTCAAAGAGATAGTAAAGTTAGGTCAACTGAAATCATTCAAACCCAATGCGTTCATTGGCACAGTGATCTAAAACTGCAAAGTCATGTACAGAAGTGAAGAGGCGAGAAAGACTATTTCATTTGCAAGAACTTGAGTAGAGAAAGGGTAATAAAGGGCAGCAACATGTTCTGAGCTTCCGCTGTGCGTGAGGCACTGTGATAGGTTCTTTGCTCAGGTGCTATTCTTATCCTCAATTTGCAGATGAGTAAACTGAGCCCCAGGGAGGTTAGGTGGTTTTATGCAAAGTCATCTCTCTGAAATACACAGTTTGTCAGTTCTAAGTTGGAATGGAAGTGTGGGTGTGTGGGTGTGTGTGTGTGTGTGTGTGTGTGCAGGGAGGGTCTGGTCCAGAGCCCAGCCACTGGTGAGCAGTCAGCCCATGTCACTCTCCTGCCCAAACACTCCCGTGGCTCTCATTCCACTCAGGGTGTGGCCGTTGGGGCTGTAGTAATTGTGGTCCCTCACCTGCACCCTGACCTCATGGCTGCCCCTCTCGTCCATCGGTGACGTCCTCGCTGGGTCTCAAACCTCCCCCTCTGCCTTGTCTCTTGGTAGCCTAAGCTGGTCGCTCACAAATCTTCTTCTTAACCCTCCAATTATTTAAAATCATGACCCTTATCTCTTTGACACCCCCTGGCCTTCCCTGCTTCGTTTTTCTCCATGGCACTTACGAGCATCTAACATTTTACTTACTTATTTTGGTTATTTGATCTGCCCACTCTCACTACTATATTTCCAGTGCCAGGAGAGTGCCAGGCACACAACAGTTCTCAAAAATATTTGTCAAAAGACTGAATGAACACAAATCCCCTTCACCAAAGGATCAGTCTATCGCTTTCTTAAAGTGACATTTTTTGTAATAATGTCTGACGACTGGGTAAGGTAAACCAATCCCCATTCTGGTCAGCCTCAGTGTGGGGAGAATTTTCCCTACTCCAGCACCTGGATCACTGCTGTGAAGGGCACCTCACTCCAGATCCCTCAAATGGAGCAGGTGAAAAACCTCCATCGGAAACATGGCCGATTCTGTAGTGGTCGCCGTTGCCCATTAGTCAGAGGTGATGGGGGGCGAGGGGGCATTGCATGCTCCATTGTAGGGCACTGCACCCTGGCCCTAGTGATTTAGAAGACACTAGAATGCACAGAACGTTAACATTCTCCCTTCAGAGGGACAAGGTGTTCATTCAACACCACGATTCTCCATTGAAGGTGTTGATCTCAGGTTCACATTGCTGGCTGATTTCAAAACTATTAAGAGCAAATGAGATTTAAAACATCTCTGCTCCTCCTCTTCTTCATTGGTCTTAGCTTCCTCCTCATCAGATCCTGAGTATGGAGGCATTTCCCAGGGTCTGTCCTCCAGCTCTACACCATCCCAGATCCTCAAATTTTCTCTGGGAATTAATTTCTAACCCGTATCTACAACATTCTCAAAACATCTAGTGTTAACTTTAACCTCTCTCCTGAGATCTAGGCTTGAATTCCCACAACTTTCCTAAACTCAGACCTCAATATCCCAATAGCAGCCCCCATATTCCAACAAGACCCCCCTTGAGGTCCCAACAGCACCCACTCAATATTCCATAACACATCCTTGATATCCCAACAGAATCCCCTCGATGTCCCAACAGCATCACCTCGATAATCAAAGATGAATGAGATGTCGTATGTGCTTTCAGAGAGCTCAGGAGGGACAGGTGAAAACAACTCATCTGCCACATGTGATAAGGGCAGTGGAAGCATCTGGAACTAAGGGAGACAGGGTCAGGGGTGGCTTCAGAGGGCCAGGGGACATGAAGAATGGATCCTCCTGTGTGGCTGAAGCACAGGGTAGGAAGGAGAGAAAAAGAGGCTAGATGGCTGGAACAGGCGGTATGGGACCAGGTCGTGAAAGGACCTGAACTTTTGTTAAGTATCTGTGGTGAAGGGCTTGGAAGGCCCACTTAAGAAGTTCAAATTTTATTCTGTGGACAATGGAGAGACACCAAATATTTTTTGAATGGAGTAGATGTGAGATCAGAGTCATGTATTATGGTGACTCTAGTTACAGTATGGACAGTACATGAATGCAGAATGACTGAGGTTGAGTCATTTGAGAAGGACCCACAAAGTCCAAGAAGAGACAACGATGAAATGGAGAGAAGGAAACGCATGTGTGGGTTATTACAGAAGGGGCCGTGAAAGCAACAAAGAAGAGCCATGGAGGGACAGCAGCTTTGCAGACAGGTGTAGTCAAGCCTCTGATGATCCCCAGACGCTCATTTCCAAAACGCGCCATGCATGTCCTAATCTGATTCAATCTCTCTCTCCTGCCCATGCTCTCCAACTTTCGACTGTTCCCCATCAACCACCATCGGCAAAGTCCCCACAGCCTCAACCTCTCCTCCTGATACTCCATTCACTTCTTGCTCTTAATAAAGCCAGCTCCCCTTTCCTGCCCCTTCCCAAAGTACCACAAGGCCTGGAAGTGAGGAGGTCCCGGGACTGACTGATCGGTCAGCATCAAGGATGGGTTGCGGACAGGAGAAGCAATGGAAACAATGAACTGGGTTTACATCTTCAGTGAATTATGGGGGACATCTGGGGATCTAGAGGTGACTGCAGCAAGGGGTAGGCAGCTTCAGAGGCTCTGGGATTTTGAGAGAGTAGAAGAAATGGTTTGGACAGAGCAGTGAAGCCTGAGGAGGACAGAAGCCCTACCAATCTTATAGTATTTCTCTCATCAGTTTGCAGAGTCTCAGTGTGTACTGTCGCATGCTTGCTCAAACTCCCCATACACAACCTCAGCCTCAGCTGCCAACCTCACCTCATTCTGTCCCAAGAGAGCAGAAACAATCACAGAAAATGTCCTCAGGCGTCCATGACCAAAGGGACACCTGACTGGCACCCACACCCTCAGACTTTGCTTTCCCTCCTGGCGCACAGACTCCCTCATGGATTCTGACCGCTTTCACCTGGGTCACCTTGTCCACTTAAGGACTTCAAGACAGATCTTGTCTCTCTTCTTCACTGTCTATTTCTCCCTCTCCATTATAGTAACACATCAGTATTCAACCATACCCCATTATCTCCCATGTTCCTCTCCAGCAAGTGCACCCAATCTTCTCCCCTTTGCTGTCACTACATCCCCACCCCCGTTCTCTCCTCAATCCCCTCTGGCCAACCATCTCCACCACCTCTGCTGGGAAACCACTCCTACCAAGGTCACCAACCATTGCCAAGTTTATCAAATCCAGTTCACCTCTGTCCTTATACTATGTTGCCTCTCAAGAATAGAAGTTGACACCGTAGCTCACTTCCTTCCAGGACATTCCTTTCTTTGCTTATTTCTGGACCCTCCTCTCTTCCTGGGCTTCCTCCCATCTCCCTGGCTGCTCCTTCGCAGTGCCCTTTGCTGGCTCTAGCTCTTCCCTCCTGTGGATTCTCCAGCTATACTCATGGCTAATCTGGTTCATCTCACCTGCTCTCTTAGCTCTATTCGTCACCTGTGTTGATGACTCTGGGGTTCTAGCTCCTGAGCTCTTCGTGGATATCTGACAGACATCTCAGCCCTAACATGGCCAAACCAAACTCTCAATTCCATCTCCCCACTCTTGCTCCAACTCCAATAAACCTCTTTCTCTCCCACCTCTCAACAAATACCAGAAGCAGCACTCAAGCAAACACCTGGGAGTCATGCTTGATTCCTCTGACCCTTACCTCCTCCCACCACCCACAGGATCCATTATCTTGCCCCTGAGCTCTGTCCCCCCCAAAGATCCCAAATCCATCCACTTCTCTGGTCTCTACCTCTAACACCTTTGCCTCTCTCCTGGGCACCTGCCATGGTTTTCATTCCTGTCCTCTAGCTGGAGAGGGAGAAAGAGCTGAGGATGGAACCCTGGGGAACTCACATAAAGAGGATGCAGCAAAACCGATGAAGCAAGTAGCTGACCTGACCAGACATGGGGACGGAGCCCACAGGGAGGAAAGGAGAGAGGCAGAGAAGAAGAGACTCTGGGTTAAAAATGTCGTTTCAAAGCCGAGATTGCACAGGCTGGCCATCATTTCTAGGCAAAGTGTGTCTGTGAGAATGTGCAGGCCAAGAAGTGAATCTGCATCAACATGGAAGCCAGACTCACCCCGGATGAAGGCAAGAGATGAGCACGAGAGGAAAACCATGAGCTAAGAGTCAGGTTCTTTAGGAGTGTGGACACCAGCTAGGAAATCAATAGGGGATGATGACCTTCCATGCCGGGATGCTCAGCAGGCTGCCAAATCTAAAATGTCTACCATGTGGTCTCTCACCTTTGTCACCGACCCCCACCTCACTTTCTTTCTAAGTGTTGTTTGGGTCCCCAACACCTGGGTCACCACAGAGCCTCCTCACTAGTCCTGCTCCTCTCATCCTGGGCACTGCTGACAGGTGAAGCTCCCTAAATACTGGGTGGTTCTAATGACGCTACTCCCCTGCACAGAAATCCTCAATAGCTCCCCACAGCCCATCATATCATGCACGATCTCCTTCTCCTGTCATCCAAAGCCCCAGTCTCACAAGCAATACACCTTTCTGAGCTCATCAGCTCTTCCTTGTGTTTCTGCTCTCCAGGCAACTCGGATCCCTTGTTTTTCAAGCACTCCTGGCACTTCTCACCTCCTTTCCTTTGCTCACGTTGCTCCCTCCTTCTGGAATACACACCCTTCCTCTCCTCCTGCTGAAATCTTAGCATGTAACACAGTTGAAAACACATGTTTGAGGTCAGATAGATCCAGATTCATATCCTGGCGACCCAAGTACCAGTTCTCTCTAAAGTTAGTTAACTTTCCTGAGCCTACGTTTCCACATCTGGAATTTGGAGCCCAAGAAAGTTGCCCCGGGGAGAGGAGAAAGTGAGGAAAGCTATGTAAGGCAGCAAGCTCAGTACCTGCCGCAGAGGAGGCAACCATTGGTTTTCATACCCCTTTCTCCATCCGTTCTTTCTGGGTGGCCCTTCAGAGCAGACTGTCCCTCCCCTGAGCCCCGGATCACTCTGCCTCCTCACTGCACTTTCCCACATTCTGCTCCTTTATATCTGCATTAACTCCTTCTCTGCTCCTTAAAGACAGTGACCATGTCTTGCCCACTTCTGTGTGTCCGCCAGCACCGAGCACAGTTCATGCAGGACTCCGTAAATGCTTAGTGAATCAAATTATCTTTAATTCCCCTGCAGACAATATAATCTCAGCCATGGTGATTTTTCTAGGAGAAAGCGTGGGTAGGATTTGAAGCAGAGCAATATCATTATCATCATCCTAATATCCAAAACATATCCCTTACCCAAAACCTATAGCTTCAAACAACACAGGAAATAGTTGACTGATTTAAGAAACTTCTAGAACACATATATGTTTAGCTCCAGGTCCATTAACGTGAGTTTGGGGCATCACTTTAATTTGCAGGAAACATTTAATGGCGTTAAAAATAATGAATGGAAAGACTATCCCCTTACGGTCAGCTTGCAGAAGGACAACATGATGCAGGGTCAAGGCCATCCTTTGGGAGTCAATGGTGCTCAGGATCTTGGCAGCTGCAGTCCCCAGCAAAGGCTTCCCGTTGTACAGGGTGTAGTAAGTCAGCTCCGCTGGGTCCTTGGGTCCCGGCACCCGCTGCATCTTTACCATCTTTCAGAAAAAGAGAGGCCATGTTTATGGGGCATCTTGCACCAATCCTGCAATCACCTGGGCAATCCGCAGGCTCTCTCCCAATTGCTGAAGCCTTCCATGGCTAATAGGACCCACAACGTATATTTTAGACATCAACCTTTGTGTACCTCCCTATCACCAGCATCTCAAGAAGCCCTGCTATTGCTGGAGGGGGAGACAGGGAGGAGAAAAAGGGTTTGAAAATAGGAACATCTGGAAAGAACAGCTTGAGACTGGAGAAGAAAATGCTAAAATGGTGATGTCTTCCAGCCTCCAGAGAACCCTGGCCTCATTTGGAAATAGGCCTGCACATTAATTCAGGGCATGTTAGGTTATTCTCAAACAAGATTTCTAATTTCAAACTCCTGCAATTGCCAGAGAGGAAAAAAAATGAATTTATATGTCTGTAATTCAAAAGATCTCTGATAAAAGCAGGACTTGGAGACTCAAAGCTCTTTTTCTAAAATAACCTTTGTTGCTTTTTCTCCCTGTACAAGTGATACATATTCACTACAGAAAATTTGAAAACACAGAAAAGCATTGGGACGCCTGGGTGGCTCAGTCGGTTAAGCGGCTGCCTTCAGCCCGGGTCATGATCCCAGAGTCCTAGGATCGAGTCCCACATTGGGCTCCTTGCTCAGCGGGGAGCCTGCTTCTCCCTCTCTCTCCCTCTGCTTGTGCTCTCTCTGTCAAATAAATAAAACCTTAAAA